CTTGAACCCAACTGGTTTACCCCGGGATTGCCAGATCACATCCAGAAGATGAAGAAACACAACTTCTCTGTGCGTTGTGGCACACTGAGTGCAGACACCATGTTACTCTTACTTACACTGGTGCACACCATAGTCCGAATGCCGTGACATTTCCTGGAAATCAACACAGCCCACCAATGGATCAAACACGAAATGTGAAACACTGACATTCACATAATTTCAGTCCGTGAATTCGAAGAGGACAACAAATAAGACTCAAAGGTCTAGCAATTGGTACCTCTGTGTTTTCCAGGTGCTGGGCGTGATACCTGATGGTGTTACATGTGAACTGGGTACACCGGGCCGCCGGGAAAAACGAGTACCCATGCTAGGTTGGGTTTAAGTGCTGATCTTGGGGCTTAACTTTCATCCCAGCTCACTCATTCTATTGGTTAAGTTTCCTCCTAGCAAGACGAAGTCTGCGTGTTCGATTCTCAGATCGGACTAGGTGCGCTGCACTACCAATCGAACTCTGGGATCTGGTCTGGAAAGGTCAGATCGCAGGACGTGGTCAGGTAATCTCCGAGAATGAGTAGTGCTTTCACAACTCATCAACAAATTTAGTATATCTATATATATATCGTCACAAACAGAACTGCCCGGTAAACCGTAGGCAGAGAGAGAGAAGAGGACAACAAACGAGGGGCTGTGACAAACTGTTTCGTCGGAGTTTCACCGACTCATCAGGAGGCTGAACCCTCAGCAGTCTGCAGAATCCCCTCACTGATTACACTGTAAATGATAATCTACCCTAACCAAAATCAAAGTAGACTATCACTCACCCACAGCAGATGGAAAACTCTACAGACTGTCGGTTCACACCCCATAGCAATATATATATATATATATGAAACAACGGCAGACACACCATGTTTTGAAACCCTAAGGGCAAAAAAACCTCGCGCCGGCAAAGAAACCACGCACCAACTCGAAATGAGCGATTGCGGTCCAAAAGTATCCGTTGGGCATTTTCCGTTTTTTTTTGTTTTCCCCTCTGACACCACAGCCGACCCCTGTAAAACCTGGTCTGACACCACGGCAGTCTGTACTTCCGTTGCCTTTTCCAACTAGGCGCGGTTATCTTTGCCGATGCGTGTTTTTTTAGCTCATTCGATACTCAAAGGTGACATGAACGTACTTACCCCTATATATATATATGTGCAAAGAAACACTTCTTACTAACATTTTTTCTCCCTGACTTGACCTTTTAGTGGCACCCAATGCTTCCCACCCCGCCCCCTCCTCCCCCTTAAATACTGGTACCCAACACTATACCTACCATTCCATAATCTGCATGTGTACAATAGATTCTGGAAATTTGGGACACTTTTTCCATACGCATTGCTGGTAACCAGTGCTGTTAAACTTCGGCCCTAGAAAAAAAGCACAGCATGCACCTGCCAGCAAAACCCTTAAGCATAACCTCAAGCACTGAATAGTACTTGGCTCCGTGAATGGTACGTTGCTGGTTCCATGGGCAAGTCAACATGATGTTCAAGGCAGGACGACAGGTTCAGCCCTTTAGGTGTGTCTGCTGCATAGAGTGTCTCAGCACTCACGGAATGGCAAAGCAATAGAAGTGAGATGCAATTTACCAGACGTGCTATTCTTTTCTTTTCTCTTTCTTTTTCTTGCTATTGTACTTCATTCTGACTTCAAGTCGCCGGTGGAATAGGAAACAGAATGATGTTTCCCGGAATGGACAAGGAGCCAGAACCGTAAGGTTCACAAATGGACTATAGCCTGTCCTGCTGTGTGACAAAAGCAAGAGCAAGCTGCAGGGGGAACTTCTTTTTTTCTCTCTCTCTCTGGTTGTAGGTCATTTTCTCAGTCTGTCTATCTCCCATCTCTTCCACTCTGTCTGTCACAGTGGCATTTTGTTGCCTGTCTATCTCTCTGTTCGTCGACTGGTTGTTCTCCTGTCTGTCTATCTGTCTGTCTGTTACTATCCGTTTGTCCATCTGTCTGCCTCCATACATGCTCCTATGCGTGTGTCGTTAATTTTCACCACAAGAGTCCCTATTCCACCCAGATGAACAGATTCAAAAATAATCGAAGCAGCTTTAGTCCGTCCTTAGGCTATTGCAGACAACCAAAGCGCTTGAGTTGAGACAAAAAAAGTTTAAGAAACAACAATTCAAAAGTTTTACCAGCAACACGGATCAAAATAGAAGCGTTTAAAATTTAAATCCCTTTCTTAACTGTGTTCACTTTGGCTTTTTTTGGGTTCTGGCCATCTTGTTTGTCCTTGCAACTGAGTCCCCCCTTTTACTGCGCCTCTCATGTACAAGGCTCGCCACGTCGATTGTGGTTGAGCGCGACCTGCACACCATCCCCATGTGCCATAACGGCCCACCTGCACATCATTAGAGGAGGCAGAGTAACAGCGGAGGTAGATTCCTGTTCATTTTTCCCTCAGATCTTCAGCTTATGTCTTCTCTGTTCTCTTCATCTCGCTCAATGACATCCGTATGTGCGTTTGTGTGTTGTCAAAAAATCGCCGATGAACTCCGGAGTCCAGACTTACTTACAGAAAATGTGTAAGCATACCGAGTCCATGTTTGCATGCTTGAGAGTCTGAGACGGAGGTACCAAAATGTTAATCGTCTGAATATGCACTTGCAAAAAAGTAAAGGATAATTTTGCAGACATTTGTCAGTCCCCAGCACGGAGTGTCAAGAACATAGGCACATGGCTGTCGGCAACCGGGAGAGTATCATGCAACAGCAGAAGCACTACCGTCTTCACCCGAATGAAACGCCCGGTCATTGTCGCCGCATCCGGTCTGAAAGTTGGCCCAAATACAGCAATAATGACCAGGCGTTCTATTCGGGTGAAGACACTAGTGTCTAAAGCACCCTAATCCTGCACTATTGTTTGCTCTGCAACAATGCAACGAACCTCTCAGTTCACCACCAGTGAGCGCACACAATCACACACCATGCATGAACAAGATCACACGAAGTTCACACTGGAGGCCGGAGAAATGAAGACCAGGTAAGCACAGCTTAGAGTTCCAGCAATTTCTTTTTTTTTTTTTTTTTTTTTTTTTTTAACGAAACACACACACCCCTGCTGTGCTAGTGGTGCTGACAGGGCCAGACACCACTAGCACCCGGGGGGGAAGGCTCCATCTATTGGTGGGGAGCATCACCTGCTGGAAAACGGGTCCAGCGTCCCTTTACAGAATGTGTTGCAGAAGAGATACAGACTGGATCAAGAGAAGTTGACTGATTAGGAAACCTGCCAGCATTGATTGCTCTGGTTACCAGAGGATTGACCGTGCCGGTTCTTAAGAAGGGGAGGAAACCTCTTCGCCCCTTGCACCAGGCGCCAGATATCTACTGCTGAGAAACTAGTCCCACCCTCCTTCCTTTGTTTTTTATAAACCTCCCTTTTCTTTTGAGATCGTGAACTTTGCCTGCCAGCATTGATTTCCCTGAGATCATCAGGGGATTAACCATGCAGGAGTGAGAGAGCGCCTGACAACCATCAATAATTAGCTCTCCTTTGCATGCTAGGGTACCAAATTTCCGAACGTGTCTTCAGTGGACCGGTCTGATGTGCAAGGGGACGAGGAGGCAGGCTCTGCTTCGAGGGGGCGAATGGGCAGACTACCAGTTCTCCCTATACCCTTATCCATCATGATCGGTTCACTAAAGTCCCTATTGGAGAGGTTACCCTGTGTCACGGCCATACCAGCTCAATTCAATCAAGACATTGTTGGGTAAGAGGAATAGGTCAGGGAATTCAGAGGCAAGGGGGAGTGGGATGTTACTGGGAATTGCAGTCCAATTGTGGAAGGTCAATCGGCAGTTTTTCTGCAATGTGTCCAACCGATCGTTGTCATCCAAGTGCCAGCCATCGCACTGAATCTTTGCTATCCATCCTCCCTATTCTCCCCCTAGCCAGTCCATGCAGAATTCATGTAGTTTTTGGACAATGTCCGATCTTTTTGTGAGGGCTATCATTGTTTGTACTGTTTTTTTTCCACTGGGCTCTGATTGCTGTTTCTATCATTGCTTTAATCATGTCCATCATCTTGCCTCTTTCCACATGGGCGCCTTCAAGTGCTAGAGTGCATCTGCGACGCCATATGGCCCATAGGACCGCATCCCTTCCGACCTTAAATAAGTTGGCCGTAAAGGTCGAGGTTTGAGCGGTCCAATGACCAGTTAACAGGGCTCTCCATTCCCACGGCCAATCTCTGTCCGTTCCAGCAAATTATCATACAAGCAACTAAGAGTTTCGGTCACAGGCGCTCAACAGCGCAGACCCAAGTATCTAGTATCTCGACTCAGGTATGTAACTCTTCCGAAGCTCTTCTCTCTTCTCTCTCTCGGTCTTCTCTCTGTCTACTACCTCTTTCTGTCTTCTCTCCCTACTTGCATGCACTCACACACCTACTACTCAAGGACCAACTCTGAATACACCCACTGCTAACTCTACTAACCCCTCTTAAGACGACTACTAACTACTAGCACTGGCGCAGCTATGGCTGCCTTCCCTCTACCAGCACTAGCAGCTATCGCTGCTCCCTCCCTCTCTCTCTCTCTCTACTAGCGCAGCTCTTTGGCTCAACAATCCGCCCCTCACAATAGCGCACAAGTGCACCAGCACTTCCACACTTTATGCGAATGAGCAATGTGGCGAATGAGGAGGTTGGCCAGTCCTTATATTGTCTTGGACCGAGCTTCAGCTCGTGCCAGCCTCTGCTTCTTGGGGCTCGACTTGCTCCGGTACGACATCCCCACGGCCTGTCTACTTTCGAATGCCAGGGCATGGAACCTTCCCGAATGTTCATGGTGTCCTGCTGCTTGGGTCTTCGAGTTACGACGTTTTGATTATGACACATGGTTTTGACTGTGGACTCCTGCCCCTGGGACACGACTCTTGCCTATGGAATTGCCCTTTGTTCGTGGGATGTGACTTTCCAACATGACTTTTCATTATGAGACATGATTTTGGCCCTAAGATGTGACTGTTTGTCGGGTGCCTGTTGGACTTGACTGCTAAGGTACCCAACTGTGACTTTTCTGAAATTGACCCTGAAACTCGAATTTGGGGTCTGAATTGTGGAAGGCCTTTCACTCTCGCCGGCCTAATTTCGAGGTCCTCCGAGAAAATTACCAATTTTATATGTCTATTATGTTAACTCCTCTCTTAGCTTTCTCATAATAGGACACAATATGCGGTGTTGTTTCCATTAGTTCATCTCTTGTAAACCATCGATCTTTTGTGGGTTCCTGATGGGCAAATTTGACCTTATATTGTCGTTGTGGTCTACCCCTGCGCCCACATCTGTAAACACCGTCCCTAACAATCTTTTCCACAAACTTGCGGTAATAGTTGGCCATACCAAGGAACAAACGCAGTTCCGTCAACGTGAGTAGGTTAGGTCAATCTCTAATGCTACAATCTTGGCGTCTTCGGGTTTGACTCGTCACCATTTACCATATGTCCCAAGTAAAGAACCTGACGCTTTGCCCATTCACACTTCTTCGGGTTTATCTTAAATTTTGCCTCTCGCAACTTATTTAAGCACAACTTGAACGTGATTCTCATATTCACTCAAACTCTTACTGAAATCAGTATGTCATCTAGATAAACAACAACAAACTTATCAAGCCAATCACGAAACAACTCATTCGTAAGTCGAAACGGCATCACCACAAACTCATAGTGGTCGTACCGGGTCCGGAAAGCCGTTTTATGTTGATCCTCAGGCAATACCTCAATCTGATGGTAGCCTAATTTAAAATCTATTTTCAAAAAATATCTGTAACCTTGTACTCGGTCTAAGAGATCATCTATCCTTGGTAATGACTCAACATTCTTAACAGTTATTGCGTTGAGTCATCTGTAGTCTATGCACATACTCAGTTCACCGCCCTTCTTTGGCACAAACAGGACAGGTGCACCGAATGGTGAGGAACTTGGTTTAATCCACCCCTTCTCAAGCAACTTCATGAAACTCTTTTGGAGACATCCTATAGAAAGGGCCCTTGGGAATCCGACTACCGGGTTCTAACTCTATCTGGTGTTTGGTTTCTCTCTCAACGACTCCACTTGGGGCCTCTCCCACATCTGCGAACTCAACAAGTAGTTTTTATACATTGGGGGGAATGGGTTCTTCCTTTTTCTTACTTTCACTCACCGGGGGCACATATGCAACAAACACTTGGTCGGCGAGGTCATTCTTGACCACATGCCGGGCGAACGAGGGGCCACTCATGCAGCGAAGGGATAGGTTATTCTCTATGTCAAATGCATGGTAAAGTCCAATTTTTTTCTTTCCACTTGCTGGGCTAGGCAAACAACACTCATGCTCACCCAGTTTCACATATGCATCGGCGGCCTCACCCCTGCCAGTTCCTAGTATCATGTCAAAAGGGAGATTGTCCTCCACTAAGAGTGTCAAGAAGTGCAGAACACGTTCCCCCTTTCCTGCTGCCTCCAACCGGAAGTATGCCCTAACCCCTTCAATATAGCTATCTACTACCGTTTCTCTATTATCCACTAACTTACTTACAACGGGCTGGTCCAACTTCTGGACCTTCAACCCCAGGCGCATCTTCTGCAACCCTTTCTTGCTAATATAACTGCACGTTGATCCACTATATATTCCCACTTTTACTCTACTGACTTCTACATCTGCTAACAACTGCCCTTTCTTTTTCTTCATGTCGGCCCAAGCGCGATGATGAGTGATCAGTTCATCACCTATGCTTGTGAGGGAACCACCTAGAGAAGTCATGGCACAAGCAACCACTGGGCAACTAACTAGGTGGGGGGACTTTAGCATCTCAGACTCTGCCATTGGGACCTCTGGATGGGAGGATGACAGTCTGCTTGCATACAGAGTCCCCGTAGACGCAACTGCTACCTCTACTGGATGTTCCATTTTTGGTACCGATATTCGTAAATCAAAGTTTTGCTCTGACCCCAATGAATGATTACTCAATTTTAAATCACAAAGGGTTACAAATTAATTTTCTCAAAGTAGAATTGATGTCCTACGTTTATCCATCTTTGGTCTAATTCTAAATCTGACGTCGTTTTCATATTTGTGCAGATAAGTTTGAACTCTTATTTTTTAAATTCGATTTTTGATATCATTTGTCTGAAGGATTTTCAAAAACTGGTTACAATCGATTGTCAAGCTGTGATATTGTAGGATTTGGCTTCATAGGTGCTGATTGAACTATCTCCTTCAGGGTTGGGGCCCCTCCCTCTGAGGGTTATACAAGGTGAAAGGTATGATCCTTGAGAGGGTAGGGGCGGTATTGTGTTTTTTTTTCCCCTTTGGGCCAGACTGATCTGGGTTGGATCAGCCACGATGGTTGGGAGGGAGGACAAGGGGCCGTACTGTTTTCAGCAAGATGAGAGGTCGAGAGGTGTTTCACTTGGAGGGGGTGGGATACGAGGGAAGGGGGATCTTTAGCTCCGCGGGGGCATGCTCTAGGGGGTATTGCATGCTGCTGAGGGAGCAGGAGTGAATTAGGGCTGTTCTGAACTGGGGCTGGGAGGTGAGGGGGCGCCTTCCAACGGAGGCAGTGAAAGGACATGAGCTTGTTTTTGTTGGGGAGGAGGAGTAAGCCGCTCGGTTTCCTGTTAGCTCATTTACATCCAGCTGAGACGTGAATAGATGCAGGAATTCCCATGGG